CCCGGGCGCCTCGTGCCTCCCCCAGCCCCGGGGAAGCCGGGCTTTGCCGCTCCTCGCAGGGGCTCGCTCAGAGCCTGCTTTGCTTTTTCATTTTGTCTGTGGCCAAACCCATCCTCACCTTCCAGCTTGCCCAGCCACCGGGCAGCGCCAGGCTCGTGCTGGAGCCCGGACCACGCACCTCAGGCGCTGGACTGTTGTCCAAATCTCCTCTGAAGGCAGGGCAAACCCCGCTTTTATCCAGCAGGAGACTGACAAGCACCAGCACACCTTCAGTGCAGGTTTCTCAGCTTCTCACTCAACATCCAGCATCGGCACTGTCTGCTCTGCTCTTCCACCCACAGCATGCACAGGGCAAAAAAAAATAAGAGATAAACCCGTGGGATTTGCTCTGGGGCTGGAGGAGGCTAAACAAACCCACCCCCAAACCGTTTGTCCTCAGAAAAGTCAGGGTGGAGAGCAGGGTTTCATTTGTTTTGGGAAGTGAGCGCTTAATGCTTCACATTTCCCCAATTTAGAAGGAAGAAAACAACTTCCCCAAGCTGCACCAAGGGAGGGGGGGCTGCACACCACCGAGCCCAGCATGAACCAGTCCAGCCCCTGGACCATGTGGCTCCCAGTGGCAGGAGCGGAGTTTTCCACACTTCTTTGCCAACGGGTTTATTTAATTCACCTAACAAAGAAGGCAGCTCTGGAGGGGGTGATTTTTTGTTTTTTAAAAGGCCAAACCCCAATGCCTCCGGGCTCCGGCGGTCAGAGAGCACCGCAAAATCTCGACTGCACACCCTGGCCCCCGGGCCGGAGCCACCTCCTGCGCAGCCTGGGCAGGAACTTCCCTCAGGACACATCTGATTTCCTCCTCGCCTCGCTGCTCCACCCACGAGCGTGTTGTGTGTCGGGCTCATCCTTTTTTCCAGCCCCTGTGCTGACCCGGAGCCAGCAGCAGGACGTGGGAGACTGTCACCTCCAGGTGGCTGCAACTCGGATCCTTGCTTCAGTAATTCTTAAGTCACTGAGAACCTTGGTTACTACACATCAAATACGTTCTTTTAAATAACATTTAGAAGGTTTGTAAGATTTTTCTACTTTTGCTTTCTTCATAATCACTTCTAGTTGTCTTCCTCCATCCGTATGTCCCTTCCCTAAAGTCCTTCGGCTCCCCTGCTTGAGGGTTTGGAAGAAAAGGGGACGGAGATCAGTGCAAGTCCCACCGAGTAAGATCAAATTTGAAACTTCAGAACAAGCAGAGCCCAAGAGCTTGGCTCTGGCTGCTTTTCTAGTAGCAATCATTCAACCCCTGGCTGCTGTTATTGGCGTAACTCCACCTGGTTTATGAAAAATTAAGTGTCTGGCCTGCCTGGAACAAATATGGAACCAGCCACGCTCCGAGTTCAGCGCTCTGGGGAAATGCATAAGGCATCGTAGCAGAGATGAAGGAAACACAAACGAATGCCCAATTATTTAAATTGTCTGTCAGTAGTTTCAGTTCTTGCCCAGACATAACGTAACATAGTGGAGGCAGGGGTTTTCTCAGCAGCCACTGACTAATTTCAGAAAAAAAATCGTACAAAATTGAGAAAAAAAAAAAAAAAAAAAAAAAAAAAAAAAAAAAGATGTAAACAGTGCAGTAGTGAGCACGCCGCAGATGAGTCCGAGCAGAGCCCTTTCTGCGTACAGAGCGCGTACGCTTATGGAAGAGATATGCAGGAGCCTTTATGAGACAAAAAAAAAAATATAATATTGCATGAATGAGACGGAAAGATCATCCCAGCTCTTGAAAAGCACGCGTGGCACCGTGCGAGCGGCATGGTGGGCGGCTCGCCCTCCCTTCCAGCCTGAGACCCAAGAGGAAAAGCAAGTTTGGTGCCTCCTAAAATCCACAGTGCCTCGTGGAAGTGGATCAAGATGCATCACAAGCAAAGTAGCTATAAAAGCAAGGCAATCGTACGGTTCCCAGCCAAGGGCTTCTCAGAATTCACCACAAAAGACATATTTGTAAACAATCTTTAGTTACAAAAGTAAATTTATTATTAGTTCACTTTTACAATTTTTTTTTTTTTTTTTTTAAATTCATTGTAACAATCTATAAATAACTCCTGGTCATAGTCACCACATCCGGGGGACAAGCTTGATGTTTACGTAGTTTGAGAAGTTACAAACTCAAGTACGTTTTACCTGTACGGTTTTGAAAAGCGTGACACACCACACAGCCGGCTCCCTCACTCGGTAACCACCGGCGGAAGGAACGCCGCGGACCTACAGCACCATGGACTGTGGATTTCTAAGCAACAGAGGAGCGAGCCTTAGCAAGGCGCGAACCGGCATGTTCAACTGCTTGAACTTCAAAAGCAGCTCAGAGAAGTTTGTGCTTCCTAAAAGAGATTAAAAGAAAGAAAGAAAATGAGCACGTCTGGGCGCAATGCTGGCGCGACAGAAGCGCTCTCGATAGTGGAGGGAATCAGACGGGGTTCAGGGTGGGCCTCTGGAGATGCGCTCGCTGCTACTCGTTTTGTTGCAATGCTCATTAAAAAGTCAGGGTTTTATAGAAGAATTTTAAGAAATCCCAAATTCAATTAACATGGCGGGAATTCCCAGAACAGAGGCGTGTAACAAGTAGAGAAGACACGGAAGACTGGGATTTCCGTAAAGGCCTTTTGACCTGCACAGGTACCCAGGCACCTGATCGGAAACGTCCAAGGTGAGACACGTTAGCCTGTAGGCTGAGGGTGCTGTCGCCCGCACCGCACTCCTGGGCCGGGGGCTGCGGCCTCTGCAAAGCCTTCGGCAACAGATTCTCCTCACCACCGAGGTGGCAACATTCATGTCACCCCCCTAAGCAAGCCACAGAGTTCCCCAAATTGAAGTCCAGCTGCATTTGTTCTGCAGCTTGAGAAACCTTAGGCAAACAGAGGAGGATTGGCATATCCCCACGTTGGGCTGACTGAGGCCAGGAGAAAAGTTGCCCAGTGCAAGGGCCCAAAATTTCCCTGGATCCCAAGTCGATTACCGCTGGAAACCTGGAAGAGCAGGTGATCGCTCTGACTGGTTACGTGGAGGAAAGAGATTTGAGGACATTCAGGATATGGTTAGCCCAACCAAAAGAACACTTTTCCTTGTCACAGCCCGTCTTACCTGGTCCTGCTGCCTGCAAGAGCATCATTAGCTCCAGGTCAGGAAAAAGCTAATATTTTTTTTTATATAGGCCAATTCTGGCTTCTTTAGTCCTGCATAAAGTTTCCACCTTTTCTGTCCAGACTCGAGGCAATTAACAAATAAAAATCAATAAGCTTTCAGAGGAAATGCACGCTGTCACCTGATTTCCAGGGCATACCCCTTTCAGTAGGCAAGGCCAAACCCCGGAGCGTGTGGCCATGCGCGGTGTCCTGCACTCCGGTCTTACCTTCCAAGCCTCCAGCTGCCAGCTGACCCGGTGTTGGGACAGAGTGGTAAATAAGGAAGCAAGCCAGCATGCTCAGCTGAGATTCCTCTGGGGGCTGCCCACTTAGGTAGGAATGCAGAGAGACATCCCCTCCAGCTGCAATACACAAAACCCTCTGATGAAATTTAGGGAGCACTTGCGGGAGGGAACAGAAAGGCCAAACAACAGTATTTCCACAGAAAAAACTCGCTGAAAAGAGTTTCCAACTCCCCACAGCGATGGGCTAGGGATTTGTTTGTGAGCCGCCTTCATTCTGCTGTGGCCACCCCTCACCCTCTTCTCTGCTGTGGTCACCCCTTGCCTTCACTCCTAGAAAATTCTCTCAGTGCAATATAGAATCATAGAATCATAGAATGTGTTGGATGGGAAGGGACCCCTAGGGATCACCCAGCCCAACCCCCCTGCAGGAGCAGGGACACCTTGAACCACATCAGGTTGCTCACAGCCCCGGCCAACCTGGCCTGGAATG